AAAAAAAATCACATTGGATATTAACAGTGTGGGTTTTTGATTAATTAACCAGTCATATAGTCCTTACGCACTCATCCTTTCAGCATATACTGCAAGTTCAGATGCAGGAAATGGCCAAGCATCTGATCCAGGCAGCCACTGGTGTTTATGGCTCACATTTGGTTCATATTCCAAAAAGAAAGAGATCTTAATCTGCTTACTTTGCTTCACCTCTGGTGTGCTTTTGCCTCCATCAGCCCCCTGTTACCACAGTTCACTCTCCCTTCTCCTTCCCTCACCAACAATGTGCTTCACTTCAAGTTCCTTTGCCTCAAACCTCTACTCTGTCCACACCTCTCATTTGTGTCTCTCTGTATGCCTGTATATCTTTTTCAATTGCTGCTGTCCCTCCTCCCCTCGCCTCTTTTTCATCTCCCCTACTCTCCATTATCCCACCCGCCCTTCCTCGCTCTCCCCTCCTTTCCAAACTCATTGCTCTTAAACTCTCCCGTCTCCTCACATCAACCCCTCTTTGCCCTCCTCAGTCCCACATAACTCAATTCCCCGTGGTTCTTACATCTTTTTGCACTTAGACACAGCTTGTGTAACATAGGAGACGTGTTCCATGAAAAATAAACTGTTTTTGAAGCTGCGTCCACCTAACATCCCCATACCCCCTTGCTTTGTAAAACAACAACAGCTTCCCAGAAAATCAAAGTGCCACTGCATTTGAAATCATTCCCAAATGATCTCCAATCATGCGACACTGCTGTCACGTCCTGGCAGGTACTTATCAGCTTTTTGTGTGTATAAGAAAAGCATTAGAGACGGGGTATTTTTATACAGAGGGCTGTTATTTGCTGAGACTTAGAAAAGAAAAACTGGCTTGTGGATTTACCGTACATTTGGATTCCAGTAATCATTTGGACACCCCGCACTACGAGACAGGATACAAACTGATTCATCTTAACCCTGAAACTTCAGCAAGCCTTTGATTAAGTATATGGTTGCTGAAACAGATTTGGATCAGTATCCACACTCGGCATCCCCATGTTGGAAACATTTGTGTTCAAAGTTTTTCAAACAAAACAAAACCCAAACACTTTAAAGAGACAGATATCTGTGGATTAGTGGATCTGAGGACACACACATGCTGTGCTGTACAATCTGCAGTCAATGCCGCCCTTAAATAACCTTCACCTGATTTTCCTCAGAGCTGTACAGCATTAGCTGTTTCTACTTCATCCATAATGCAACAGAAGTATAGATATAGGTAGTAGAGATTAGGGCTGCCACAAACGATTATTTTGATAGTCGACTAATCAGATCATCATCCATTGGACGTAAAAC